TTTTTAATGAAAGCAGTCTTTCCACAAGATTACTCTAAACACCACATCTTTCCTTGAATGAGTACCTTTGATAATTAGTGTGGGTTGAAATTAATTAATGTTATAATGAGTCAGGCTATCTGCCTTCACCAGCGCAGCTCCTAGTGCTCTAAGGATACCAAATGCTTTTTCCTGGGCCCAAAGTTTGGAGACAAAATCAAGCCCTAAAATGAACAGGCAGAGAGGCATTGAGATAACATGGCATATGAGGGAGAGAAGGAGCCGGGACAGGCCTGCATTCATCTCAAAGACTACACCAGTCCAGTGCTGCAGGCCAGCAACCCTCAGCTCTGAACCTATCCCTGGAATCAATACTCAGCTCATTCCTTCCAGAGACTCAGGAGCCTTGGAGCTATGAGACACCCAGGACAAAGCTGAAGGATAAGAGGCCTAAATGTTCTTCCACTCCCAGTAATTCTGCATCTGTGCAGCCCACTAAACCCACCATCCCCCAAACCTTCGGTATCCTTAATGTGTGTCCAAGAGGGAGGCCTTTTCAATGGGCTACCCTCTTTTGAACTCTCATCCTCATTCTAGACTCAGTTTCCCAATCCACCCTGTGAAATTGTGAAACGAAATATATATCTGGTCTCTTCCCCTGGTTCCTGTCACATGCTCCTAAAACCTTTGGAATCTCCAGAGTAATAAGAGTTTCTTCGATATGCTAATAAGACACTGGTAGCTGGGAGGCCCCAGATAGCTTTAAGAGGGGGCTGGTCACTGGAAAGACCAAGGCATGACTAGAGGGTTGGGACTTTCAGCCTTACCCCCCCAACTTCTAGGGAGGGTAGAGGGGCTGAAGGTTGAGTTGATTATCAATGGCCAATGATGTGATCAATCATGCCTACCTAATAAAGCCTCCATAAAACCCAAAGGGCAGGGTTCTGAGAGCTTCCAGGCTGCTAAATATGTGTAGGTACATGGAGGGTGGAATGTCTAGAAAGGGCAGGAAAGCTTCATGCCTCTTCCTCCATCCCTCGCCCTGTGCACCTTTTCCACCTGGCTATTCATCTGTATCCTTTGAAATATCCTGTCTTAGTCCCTTCTCACTGCTATAAACACCTGGGATTGAGTAATTTATAAAGAAAAGGCCGGGCGCGGTGGCTCACGCCTGTAATCCCAGTACTTTGGGAGGCCGAGGCGGGTGGATCACGAGGTCAAGAGATCGAGACCATCCTGGTCAACATGGTGAAACCCCGTCTCTACTAAATATACAAAAAATCAGCTGGGCATGGTGGCGC